GCGCCCACTACTTGTCGTACGTTGTTTGCTGGAAATGCGGACTAAGTTATTCGATGAATACAAATTTTTATAGCACGTCGGTTTAACTCTTTGCAGTCAAAGCTATTTCAACTCCAAAATAAAAGCGTTTGTTGCAAGCTACAGTATTTTATTCGACGCGATTCTTTTTATTTGATGCATTGGAAATATAACCTGTTGCTTATGGAAGACTTCTATTTTCTTATAATTTATAGAATACAAACTATAACGATTAATTTCTTTAAAAAAAAATACTATAACAATTTTTAGTCTCGCCTCAGAGTGGCCGATCGTGTGCAAAGGGTTAATATTATTCCACACGTGCAGCATAGCTTTAATTTACGGTGTATTGTTTAGTAGAAAAGGGAAATAATTTATTCAGCGAATTCGAATTTTGATTACATGTCAATTTACAATCGTTCCATACGTGCAGCACACCTTTAATTTATCATACATTATTCTCAATAGAAAAAGAAAATAATTTATTCACTGAATACCAATTCTTATCGTATGTCAATTTAATGTCATTCCGTATTTGCAACATGACTTTAATTTATTAGACATTGTTCAGTAGGAAAGGAAAATAATTTATGCAATAAATGCGAATTTTTATATAGTACGTAGATTTATCATTATTCTATACGTGCATCATAGTTTTAATTTACAGTATATTGTTTAGTAGAAAAAGGAATATAATTTATTCAATGAATACGAATTTTTATCGTACGCCGATTAATAGCATTCTATACGTGGAACATGCTTTTAATGTATCGTACATTGTTTATTAGAAGAAGGAAATAATTCATACGAATTTTTATGGGTTTTAACATCGTCCACACGAAGAGAACAAAAATCGAAACAATTTTTCATGCTGTTCGTCTTCTCGATTTATCGTCGAACAATATTTTTCTCTATTTAACTGGTGGTTCAGAAATATTTCGATATTTTTTCTGGGACCGTCCTTTCGTTCCTCGTGTTTGCAGAAATTTTGCCAGTTATGAATTGCAATCGAATATTCCGAACAATATAACTCATTGAACAATTATTGAAATAACCTTATGTTTGCCTAGTTATAGATTGGATAACAATCGGTATAGTAATAATAGAAATATAAAATAATATATATAATACATAAAAGAAATATAATATAAATAATATATAATAGAAATAGAAAATAATAGAAAAATATATAGTAATCGGGTATAGACCTACAGGGTGTCCCAAAATTATGATATTTCCGGGAGATGAGGGGTTCCTGAGACGATTTGAAGTAACTTTTTCCTCAGCGAAAATGCAATCCGCGGCTTCGTTTACTAGTTATTAACGAAAAGCACTGACCAATGAGAGGCGAGCTCGGCCAGCGCGAGGCGGCGCAGCCAACGAGCGCGCGAAGCCCAGTTCCGNGCGCGCCAGCCGAGCTCGCCTCTCATTGGTCAGTGCTTTTCGTTAATAACTCGTTATCGATGCCTCGGAGGAAATTTTTGTAAAGGAAAAAGTTGCTTCGAATGACCTGAGGAATCTCTAATTCCCCGGAAGTGCCATAATTTTGGGACACCCTGTATATTTAGAAGCAAATTAATAGTAAATGGACTAAAATTATTAATCGTCCGAATGAAACGAGCAAATTCGAGAACAAATTGTTGCACCCGTAACGATATGTGCATATATTATTAATTGCAGTCTAATAATGTGTAATGTTCAATATATAATGCAAAAGCAATTGCAACCAAATTCACGGGTCAGAACGTTCGAGAGGGTGAAGTTGTTACAGAAAATTGCACAAGCTTTCGTCCAGGGGATGGAAAATCGGCTAGCGGCTAGGTGCGGAGGCTCTCTTTGGTTTCGCTGTTTTTGATCGACTTATCTCGGGTCACGTAGCCGGCGTGAAACGTTGCGATTGAAAGGCGGTCGCTATCGCTGACCGTAAGCGTTTTCTTGCTCGCTTGCTGATCGCCGACGTGACCGCGTGAGCCCGCGATAGCTCACGCGAACAGAACCGTGAAGGCAAAGAACGGGCCCGGGACAACGTATGCTACGGGCCTCGCAGCCAGATTATCGTCGATCCGCTCCTAACGAATTCTCGATAAAATCGTCGCGGCCGCGAACGTGACCTTTTCAATCGGGAACACGCTGCGGGAAATGGACCGCACGCGATGCTGATTTGTTACTTAACGTCTTCTATTGTTCGACAAAATTATAGCAAAGACAAATCCTCGATCAAAATCGGTCAACTTCGACCGACGATAACTCCGCGAAAAATCATCGTAGGACGATCACTATTCTTTCGAATTAAAGCTCGAAATCTCTACTTTAAGATACTGGTTCTGGATTTTGATTTCGATGCACCCTTATCATTGCAGCCCTTTAAATGCGAGGCCATGTTTGTCACATTGAACGTTGCCAAGTTTGACGAAGTGTACAGACTTTGTAAAATTTTTTTCAGTGATGTCGTTTACGGTAGAATGAAGTTTGATCCTTCCCCTTTAATTAAAAAAGAAAGAGAAACTTGGCTACGATTTTTGTTCGCAAAGTTACAGCACATAAAAGTAACCGTTGCAACGGTATAATTTTGTTTAAAACTGGACCGAATGACTTTTCGTTATAGGCTCGCGTAAAAAAAGTTGGGAAACGAGAGTACTGTTTTTGTCGTTATCCCGAGTAATAGGAAAATTAAACAATATATATTTTAGTCATCGTACAGTAAACTAGTATTCTTAATGCCGCTAAAAGAAATCGAATCATTTGGTCCAGTTTTGAAGAAGTGATACCGTTTTAAGAGACGTCCGAATACGTTTTCTTTACCCAATATACTGGGTATCTCATTTAAACTGCGAATCATGATTTCCAATTTTATTTTTGATCACGTAGACAAATTTTAAAATAATGTACCTTATATAATACAAGCGGTTGCTTCTTTAAATATTCAATGTGCATTTACGGTGCACAATATACCGGGTGTTTCCCGGATTATATTATTATTTTACCCGGGTTTCAACCGAAGGTGTTGCTTGTATAACACTTAATAAATGGGGACAGGTGACTACCGAGGGACGTTTTGAATAATGTATTCAGCAAACCGAAGGATTCCGATCAAATGAAGCTAGCATGGGACAGGAACTCGATCCTTAAGGCCGTTAATTAGGGCACCTTCGCAGCTAACGACTCGGCATTTGACCATCGATTACCTCCGGTTAACGAGAAGGTTGATGGTTCGAGCGTTGAGTCGAGCATGCTCGCACCCATTAGTCTCCACGCCTCTTAGACCGGGCATGAACGTGGATTGCTCCTTGAAGCACTGACATTGCTCCGTGGAAATCGAGAGTGACGTGGCCACGCCTCTTTCGATCACCCTGTACGATACTCGGAGATAAATCGTTGTGATTTCCAAATCTAGATACTTAGGAGATATTTAGTATCCTTAGTATAATCATTGAACTTGTTTTACCTGGCACTGCTCTTACTTCTTTAAAAAGCGAGAGCATTGAGGCCACGCCCATTTAGATCTTCCTGTACAATATTGTTGTAGTTTTCAAATCTAAATTGTTAGAAGACTTTGGGTATAACAAGCATAGATGTTGCTTATTCTATAAGGCACTGTTGTGGCTCCTTAAAGAATCGAGAGCATTGAGACCACGCCCCCTTAGATATACAAGCTTATTATAACCTGTACAATATTGTTGTAGTTTTAAATTTAGATTGTTAGAAGACTTTGGGTATAACAAGCATAGATGTTGCTTATTCTATAAGGCACTGTTGTGGCTCCTTAAAGAATCGAGAGCATTGAGACCACGCCCCCTTAGATATACAAGCTTATTATAACCTGTACAATATTGTTGTAGTTTTAAATCTAGATTGTTAGAAGACTTTGGGTATAACAAGCATAGATATTGCTTATTCTATAAAGCACTGTTGTGGCTCCTTAAAGAATCGAGAACATTGAGACCACGCCTCCTTAGATATACAAGCTTATTATAACCTGTATAATATCGTTGTAGTTTTCAAATCTAGATTGTTAGAAGACTTTGGATATAACAAGTATAGATGTTGTTTATTCTATAAGGCACTGTTGTGGCTCCTTAAAGAATCGAGAGCAGTGAGACCACGCCCCCTTAGATATACAAGCTTATTATAATATGCTAATGTACAATATTGTTGTAGTTTTCAAATCTAGATTGTTAGAAGACTTGGAGTATAACAAGCATAGATGTAGCCTATTCTATAAGGCACTGTTGTGGCTCCTTAAAGAATCTAGAGCATTGAGACCACGCCCCCTTATACATACAAGCTTATTATAACCTATACAATATTATTGTAATTTTCAAATCTAGATTGTTAGCAGACTTTGAGTGTAACAGGCATAGAGATATAGCTTATTCATATAAGACACTACTCCGGCTCCTTAAAAATAATCGAGAGCAAAAAGGCCACGCCCCTTTAGATCATCCTGTGCAATATTCTCGTAGTCTTCAAATCTAAATAATTAATAGACATCATAGTATAACAAGCACAAATATAGCTTGTTCTACAAGACATTGCTCTAACTCCTTCAAAATCGAGATCACTGAGGCCACGCCCCTTTAAATCGCAATTTAAAATGTTAGCTTCAGATCTAGATACTTCGAAAACCTTGAATATTACAAACATGGACACAAATTAAACGCTCAGTTTGAAACACTGAATGTGCCCGTTGAAAACAATCAAGAGCAACGAGGCCACGCCCCTTTGGACTAGCATATACAATACGATCGTATTCTTGAAATCTCAACTCTTAGGAGACCGCAGATATAATAAACATTACACGTAAGATTGCTGTGTGCAGAAGCTGAAGCGTAAACAAACATATTCTTAAGTTCCAAGATTGTTATTTGGTAAACAGAAAAAGAATAATACACCTGCATCGACAACATTACCTGGGCGAAGAAAGATGGGGACACGGAGTTCGAGGGACCTGCTAAAGCGGCTTTCCTCTTCTTTTGTTTCAGGAATTGGAGAGGAGTTATACACTTTCGACCCCGGGGGGTAGCAGCCCCGTTTGTTGCCCGCCTTGCAGTCCACCGCCAGCCCCTGCCGCTTACATATCGAGCGCACGTGCTTCCTCGAGGAGACTCGGTGCCGGAAGCGGAATCGGAGGACCGCCGTCTCCGGAAAGGGATCCCTTGGGAAGACTCTTAAGGTCAGTTCGAACATCTTGCTCAAGGGTTGCTAGACACCTACGACCTCTTTGCATCGCTTTAGACAGGGACGAGGACAGAGTACATCTGTTTACACTCGAAACAAACCAATCTATTCCGGAGAATTTAAGACAGAGTGCTTGCTATGACTCGTCGCAAAAGTAGATATTTTATTTTTCATCTGAAATAAAACCGGTTGGAAGACAGTGTAAATAAATAATACATAAATAAATAAGTAAATATATAATTTGTTTTAATTCAGCGTACTCATGTTCGATGGTAATTTTAATCATATACGAAGAACGTTAGGGGAAAATGTATACGAGAAATTGTTTTTCCAAATATTTCAAGTGTGTTTATAATATGTGTAATATACCGGGTGGCCCATTTATACTGAGCATGTTGATTCCAAATTTTATTTCTGATCGTATACAAAAGACGCTCGAGGAGAGCGTATGTAAGCGATAGTTTTTCAAAATATTAGGTGTACTTATAATGTACAATATATTGGGTGTCTCATTTGAATCGAAGATCTTGATTCCTAATTTTCTTTTCGATCGTGTATAAAACTGACGGAGGAATGTGCATACGTACCACTGTTTTCTGACTGTTTAAATAGCATTTATAGTGTTCAACATATATATGGGGTGTCCTGTTTGAACTCACGATGTTATTCCGAATTTTATTTTTCAATAATGCACAAAAATGTTAGCAGAATATGCACGCGAAGCATTGATTTTTATAATATTTAAAGCGTATTCTTGACGTACAATATACCAGGTGTCCATTTTCATGGATATACAAGACCGTTGAGAGAAAAGATATACAGAGTATCGTCCTTTAAATGATCCAGTGGTAAATGTCAGCTGACAGGAAGAGATATTCACTTTTGGTTTGAGGTGAATGTCTAAGGCCGTTAAAATTCCAATTAATCCGTGCTCAGGTTACCAGCTGGAAGTTGCTCGTTTATCGAGTGGCCGGTTAATTTCCCAAGCGACGAAACCGTAGTCAGGCTAAGTGGCAGTTTCACGGTGAATGATGCATTCGTTGTACACGCGGCGCCGCGCGAAGATTGATGATCTCGGGAGCCTGCGCGAAGGTGATCAAGCGTGGAAAGGGACCGGACGTGGATAGGGACTGGCTTTACGGCTTCCGGCCGATTGCTTCGACAGGTCCAGCCGTGACAATTTTCACGGGCTTGCTCCACGTTCCATGGTTGTCGACGGATCCGAGCTTGATGGCCATTAACGTCCACTCTGTGAGGCGAATATTAAACTTCCGGCAGGGAAAATCTGAGAAGGGTATAAATCCGGAAAGGGTATAAGATGGTCAAATGCGCCCTCTAACCACGTTGATTTTTCTTTAGACCGTTCGATAGACCGTTCGAGGTTATTTTGGGGAGAGTTGGGCCAAATGTAATCCGATCAATAATTAACGATTATAACTAATTTATACTAATTAGGCAAAATCTAATCTGATTAATAATTAACGGTTATGATTAATTTATAATAATTGGGCGATATCTAATCTGCTAAAACAATTAACGATTGTAACTAATTTATAACAACTGTGCAAAATGTAATCTGATCTGATGATTGTAACTCGTTAATTATTGTGAAATCGTTATAAATTAGTCATAACAACTACGAAGTAATGGATAAATAATTAGTAGCAGGTTATATTTTGCCTATTTATTTTTTGCCGCATTATTATAACTCAGTAATCATTAGTAATCATTAATCAGATCAGTTCTTGCTCAACTCTGCCGCAAGGGTAGTTACAGGGTTAAATCGAATTAACAGATTATGCTCTATTTTTCCCGTTCTGCTCGACGGAAAATTATGAAAAAATTCATGAAATTTCTACTCGATACGGCACAACTGGCCAATTTTTTTCAGAATTTTGAGTTGCAAAATCAATTTCTTAAGAAATCCGGAAACTTGAAAATGCTGATTTCGTATCGAAATTGTTATAGGGACAACATGTTTATATTCTTATATTATGCATTTATTGCAAAATTGACTATGTAAAATTTAAAACAGTGAACGGATAAAAGAAAAATTTTAGGAACATCAATACGTCGTTTTCGAAGTTTTGAAATCATTAACGAAAAAAAGTTCTACGCGGTTATTGCATCTTGCAAATGATGCATAACATTTTTATTTTGCCTAAAATCTGCGGTCTACCTTTTGCGGTTATTACAAAATTTAAAACCGTTGTAAATTCGAAAAAAGTGCATTTTCCAGAATTTTCCGCTGAGCGGAACAGAAGAAATAACTGTAACTACCCTTGTGGTGGGAATTGCGACTTGAAACTTCGCTGAAAGGGTTTCCCTTGAATGGTCTATCGAATGGTCGAAAAAAAAATAAATTCCATTGGGTGGTACATTCCACCATCTTCTTTCGAGCTTTGGACCCTTTCTTGAAACTGCGTTCTTCCACCGTGTTTCTTTATCCTCGCGACGGGGTGGTTTATTACAGTCTTTTCCGAGGCTCCTTCGGGAATAATTGTCTGTAGTATGAACCGTATTTTCTCAGCAGCAATGGGCGTCGGGGAGATCTGGGAGCGTTTAAGTTTTAGTTCACTTTGTTTCCTTTGTTCTCGGTCCAGCTCCTCGAAGCTCCAAAATTGCGCTCTGAAATTTGAAAGATTTTTAATATTATCGTGGAATTTACGAAAATAATTGGAATATTATTGAGCGGACACTTTCAAATACAGGGTGGTCATTAACTAGTGGTAAAACCGAGAAGGGGATGATTCTACATACAAAAATCAGAGAATAATATAAAATAATATTTTGTTCATTTCGGTTTTCATTTTCTGTTTTTGAGAGAAATTAGTTTGAAAGATAATACTACTGTGTAGGAATAAAATTGTTGCCATACTACAAACCACGCAAACTTGGCGCATCTTTCAAATAATTTCCCTAAAAAAACACAGCCTTAAATAGAAACACATTGGCCTATATTTTTGTCTTCTTTTCGCATGTAGAGTAGCTTTTATTTTGCTGGATAAAATGTTCTTGTTGTTCTATGTGCACGTAATTTGTGTAACAAAGATACGTACGATAAAATACTTTTTGCCGATGGTAGCAATCATGGTTTACTGGGTGAAAATACAAACAACACCTCGGCCGTCCTTTATTTTAATTAGCCAGTAACGTTCCATTGACTTTTCCCTCTAGTTCGCGGACACACGGACACGCGCGCGCGTGCGCGCACATGCACAATGAACGGTTTTTGCATCGCGGCACAGAAACGTTTGAAATTATTTCATTGCACTTCGAGGGTCATAATGTTTCGACTGCTCGTTAGGTAATTAAATTTCCATGGTAAAATTTGCATTCACAGGGGAAGAGTTATCGAGGCAGTAATTTAAAATAAATATGGATTAATAATTGCGTCGCGTGATTCCGCTGCTCTGTGTGCGTTGACTTGAATTACAGGAACGATCGAACGTTCGTTTGCGCGATTTCCAGGGAACGGAGTCCAGGTTATTCGACTCGTTCAATGTTATAACTAGTTTGCGGAATTTTATGAACATTTCGGCAGTGTTAATGCTTCCGCGGAGAGTCACAGATCTCATTTGTAAAATTTATTATTCGTTGTATCGTTAATTTATTCGAAATATTTGCGAACGGGACATTTATTTAAATGCAGTGTCGCCGCGGGCGCGCACTTCACGATGGTGAAATAAAATTATTGTTCTTTAAGGAAATAATAAGAAGCAAATTAAAATAATAAGAATATATTTGAAATAGATTTAGAATAATTTTATTTAAAAAATAATAAGAAGCAGAGAAAGCAAAACTGTATATATTATTTACATTTCTGTTCGAGGTAGTTTTTAAACAGACTTCAAAGCGATCCACGTGATTTTATTTAGAGGGAAATTGAAGATGTAAATATTTTCACTAACATTGTACATACACGAAATTAACTCGGTCACCATTAAAGATACAAGATTAAAGAAACGTTCTAAAAGGTAAAAGCAATACCGTAATAAGGCAGCAAACACAAGGATCTAATAAAAGTCTGTAAATTCTTGTTATTTTTTTATATTCTTATTTTCTTTTCATTTTCTTGTAAAATGAGAACTGTCCACCTGAATTATCGGGAACAGAAATTAAATAAAAATCTGTTTCTGTTGTTATTAATTTTAATACATAGAAGAAAAGATAACAACGTCCTCAAATTTTTTGCTGTGCTTAGAATNCTAGAAGAATAAACGAATTATTTTTGTTCTATTGATTCAAATTTAAAATTATCACACTATATACTGTATATAATTCTTACACTATATTATTAACTTCATATTGATCGACTAAGCTAAATTAAATATTTTTATTCCACACTAAACAAACTAGAAGAATAAACGAATTATTTTTGTTTTATTTATTCAAATTTAAAATTATCACACTATATACTGTATATAATTCTTACACTATATTATTAACTTCATATTGATCGACTAAGCTAAATTAAATATTTTTATTCCACACTAAACAAACTAGAAGAATAAACGAATTATTTTTGTTCTATTGATTCAAATTTAAAATTATCACACTATATACTGTATATAATTCTTACACTATATTATTAACTTCATATTGATCGACTAAGCTAAATTAAATATTTTTATTCCACACTAAACAAACTAGAAGAATAAACGAATTATTTTTGTTCTATTGATTCAAATTTAAAATTATCACACTATATACTGTATATAATTCTTACCCCATATTATTAACTTCATATGTATCGAATAAGCTATATTAAATATTTTTATTCAAAAATAAACAAAACGAAAGAATAAAAGAATTATTTTTAATGTATTTTATAATGTCGTTCTGACCATAAATGCATAAAATCCGCAGTCTACTGATAACATAACCTCGCAATGACATCAAAGCTCCGCGTATCCCGTATTAATCCGAGCGTTATGCGAATTTACGAGGAGGGATGCGCACGGTAAAACGACGATTAACCGCGGAACTCGTTGTTTCCAGATTCCTGAAGACGTTCTACAGGGAACTAGGCACCCGGGACCCACCCCATCTTCCAGCATGGGCGTCGCCTCTGCCTCTCGGCACCCTCTGTCCGGCGCACTTCCAGCCGCACCTGCAGCTGCTGCACAAAGGCGAGCAGGAACACAGGCTCGAGAACATCAAGCCCGACCAGATCTTCGCCCCCGTCAGGGTGAGTCTCATAAATCATCGCTCGGATACGAAGCCGTCCGCTCGCACGTGAAACTTTTCCCGGCGACCGGTTCTCGCGGCTGCACCCGATCTCGAGATGCAGCCGATGCGCCCGCGCTTCCGGAAGAAGAGTCGGAGACTTGTTCTCCCCCCGGAGAACATTTCTCGAGGAATCTCGACCCCGCTTGTACCCCCAGAGGAGAGATTCGATGGGGAAACGTGTGCATCTCGAGTTCTTAACTCTTGCTCTGTCTTCCTTCTTTGTAAGCCGGTTCTTGCTCTGGAGGGTCTTCTTAAGGGTCTTCTTGAGGGTCTTTCGAAGGGGTTTCTTTCAGGATAGTTTGTGAATGTGATACTGCGGAGATGATCTAACCAACAAGTCGGTTGAAAAACGTTTTCATGGAGTGGACTGGGTGGAGCATTGTTTAGAATAATTCGTGACTTCGAGGCAACTTTTTGATAGGTTTCAGAATTTTTCTACTATCCCGAATGGAACTGTTATAAATGGCGTTTCTCCAGCTTCAATTTGAGACTAATAAAGTTTGAAAATTCCGATGAGAATGGATTTTAGGGGTAATTTAAAGGGACCCCTACAGTGGCATATTTCAATGAAATGTGGAGCCAGATTTTATCGTTAATATTATATTATTATTTCTCGACACGATCTTCAATTTTCGTTGATATTAGAGTAACCCTGTCTCATAGTGGATTTATCTAGCTTTAATTTGAGTCTAATGAAGTTAAAAAATTCCAACGAGAATATATTTCAAAATCGACTTAAAATGACCACCCAAAATGCAGCGATTTTTCTCTGAACAGTCAATCAACTTCGCATTAAAAAAAACCCATTAAATACCATAAGCAACAAAAATTCTCTTACAATAGTAAAGAACGCCTGATCAAACGCCAAAAACATTTCAGCCTCTGCATCTATTTGTTCTCCTGCAATAAATTCCGAAAGATGACCTATACTTCGATACTTCGATAAGGTTAAACTGACCTTTTCAACATTCTTATTAAACTGCGGATCTTCGTGCAAAATAAACATTTTCCTTGTCGATTATACAAAACAGAAATTAGAGAGAAACACTGGAAATAAAGCAACGGTGTTCTTTATAGTCTTCTCGTGCGTTCACAGCTTTGCGTTACGTTTGCCCATCGTTCTAATAAACGCATGAAATCCGCAGCCTAGTTATTCCATATCATCCTCCTTCGTTTTTCTGCGCTGTGGGTCTGAAAATCTTTCGGTGCCACTTGATATTTCTGGTTTACGTCGTCACCGCGATGGAAATTGAGTTTTCGGTGTTTTGTGCCCGAGATCCGCGCGCGTGACGACGAATTCCCCGCCGGGATATTAGTCGACCGTTCGCGTAAAAGTTTCCGCGAAGGGTGGATTCGTCGTTCGTCAATTGTACCGCACGGCTGCCGTAGGATTTACATGATATCGACTACGTAATTGCGAAAGTCTTGGCGTGGTATGCCGGGACAGCCGGCACGTCGACGACGACCACGATTTTCCTCGTCGAACGCGAAAACTTGCCGAACCTGAGAGCCAAGTTAGCCGCGACGGCTCTCTGTCAAAGTTCGACTTCCAGCAACTTCTTCGGGAACTCGCAGTTAACCGCATCATCCTCCTCTTTTTCTCCCTCGTAAATCCCGAAACCGTTGTTTCGTGCGAAACAGAAACGGAGAAGCCACTACATCGTCCACAGTTGCACAGGGCAGCGGTGCCAGTTACTGTAGGGTAGCCAATCACTGTGCCTTTCGTTTATTCTCAAGCATAATTGACTGTGTATTCATTATATAAGAAATATCAAAATTTTATATTTAAATTCAATTCATTTGTTACAATTAAACATGTAAAAGACGAAAGTTCTTCAAGTACCGCAAAAATTATTTCAATCTTTTGATACCGAATTCGCGAAATTTTCTGTAAAGCTTATGTAAAAGCATCAGAAAATATTGAAGGAATGAAGATGAATATTCGGTACAAGAAATCGTTCTAGGCAAGATATTACGATATTAATTGTATCAGTGAAACGTATTAAGATTATGGGAAAGCAAAATGGTAATTATTTAATTGTATTTTTGTTTTTAGTTTCAATTTAAGTAGTTTACTTTACTGTGCACGGTAATTGAACCTATTTTTCGCTTGATGCGTTAGTTACTGTGCACATTAAGTGAATCCATTTTTTACTCGATGCGTCAGTTACTGTGCCGCTTACCACGTGGTGGCCTACATAACCTCAAATCTCAAATCATCTCTGCCGTATTTTTAAAGATGCGAAATGTAAATATGAAATTTCGTTAAAGCAAGCATCTCTCTCTCTCTCTCTCTCTCTCTCTCAATTTATGAAAGAATGTCAAGTATTTAATTTCGATTGTGATACTTGTGTCCGAAAACAAACCTCCTTGCATCTTGCAGCTCCTGCATCTTGTAATTAGCGAGAACAATTTTTATTTTACATAAAAATCTGCAGTCGAGTTAGCAATTTTACACACAAAAATATTTCAAAATATTTATATTGTATACGAATTCGCAATTATTTGTTTAAACAGAAGCAATTTGAAGGAATTAGTTTTAGAAACAGAAACAATTAGGAGCAATTATTTCTTTAAAGAGAAACAATTAAAAGCAATTTTTTAAAAAAGAGAAACAATTAATTAAAATAACTAAATTAATTAAAAGAGAAGCAATTATTTTTTGAAACACAGTATCCAGGGAGGGGGCATAGCAACTGATTTTTGTAGATCACAGGCACACGGTAACTGGCGCCAAAACTTTTTTTACTTTCTCACAATATCCAAAAGAGATTCGATTACTGTCGACGAAAGAAACTTTGCAATTTACCTTTAAGTTCTTAAGATATGTCATTTAAATTGCTGCAGTTGTGTTCAGCAGCGAATACTCCGGAAGGCTGCTAACAGGGCACAGTAATTGGTTCCCCTGCCGTAGTTATCCGCGCAACAATTATGAACGGTTTGGTCGCAGTAAAACACTCGCGGCCGCTGTATTGTCATGACCCAATTGACAATCAATAGTGTCATGGTTACATAATTCGTGTCCGATTGTGTTAATGTGCTCGCTGCACAAGTACGGAATTACTGAACCGGCGAAAATTGTATCCTGTTAATACGCTTGTTAACGCGAGACTGTGTAACGTTGCGTTGCAACGTGCCTACACCTCTGTGGAATCAGTTCGAGGGCGTCGGTGCATTTCGCATTTTAGAAGGAATTATAATAGTTTTAAATGAATCCTGGATTAGAAAACTCGTAGTACGACAACAAACGATATACAGCCGATTGGATCATGGAAATTAGTTGAATCATCCATTAATAATTCTATAACCAGAGATCGCGTCTGAATATTCATCGGATGGGATTGTTTTAATATTAATTCAGCGGTGCCGATATTGACATTTTGCTATTCATATCTGTTATTAATTATAAGCTGTGGATCTATCTGCGAAACAGAAATGTTACGCAATCAATAGCTTGAAATTAAAGATACATGGAAATGGATTATCCTTTCACCGACCGTTTTAATGAGCACAATTTTTCAATTTTTCTTGTAGTTACTCCGTTCTCTGTTTCATCTGCTAGCGTTTCATAACAATCGAAGTACAGGAACGGAGAAAACGAATAAAATTGTTTTCGAACGATATGTACTCTAGTTATAATGAGCACGTTATATTGTACAGATTTAATGATCAACATCTGTGCAAATCGTTCGAAAACAATTTTATTTGCTTCTTCCGTTATTGTGCTGATTATGTTGTACTAATTATACTGTATTGATCATATTGTACTGATTATACACTGCTGATTATATTGTAATGATTATATTGAACTGATTTTGTTATAGTAATTTTATTGTACAGTGATCTTTATATTATATATATTCATTATATATATATATTTACTATTATATTCAGTATATTGTACCGACTGTA